TCTTATGCTATAGGAATAGCTGATGGGGAAATAAAATTAGACCATTTTCATCTCTGAAATACATTTTCTAAATTAGAACTCACTTGGACAGTTTTATAAAAATAAACTCACCTGGATACATCATAATAGGGTGTGTCGTTTTCAGCTAACATAGTTTGCACGATGTCAGCATCTGTTCTTAATGAAACTTGATCAGGTTCATTTGCTTCTTGAAATGTTATTCCATCCCCCAACCTGTTAGAGGGAAACAGGCTAGAGGAAAATACTTTCTGTTCACAGGACATAATACTTATGGATTTGCAATCTTTTAAAATAGTGGTTCTCAACTTTCCTAATGCCATGACCCTTTAATACCATAAAATTATTTTTGTTGCTACTTAGTAATTTTATGCTTGGGGTCTCCAGAACCTGATTAACTATAATAATAAAATAATTTTTTATGGTTGGGGGTCTCCACAACATGTGGAGCCATTAAAGGGTCACCGATTAGGAGGTTGACAACCAGTTTTAAAATAAGGTACTCAAAATCTTGAGACATACTGCCCATTTATGAATGGCATAATTTGGCTTAGTGGCCTCCATGGTTAATGACAGTGTAAATTGTGATTTTTTAAAATTATTCCATAAAATAGCATTCTTGCAATTTTTATCAGCTAGATAAACCAAATATAAGAGCTACTTAATTCAGTGTTACCAGAACATCAAGCAAAGGACACTTTCTTGGAGTACTTTGTTATACCAAGAATACCTTCACGTTGTAAAGTCAAAGATTTTATACAATATAGAAACTTAAGAAAATTAATCAGCATGAGAATGATAGCAAGTCATTATTTCATGATGTTTGGCATCATTTCTTACAAACATTTCTCAAGACCTGAGCATTAACTGCTTTTCTCTCTCTAGGACCCTAAGCTTTGCTTCATATGTTCCTCTGTATCGATCAAGTCCAAAGAATCTATGAATGGTTTCTCCAATCTGATAAATTTTGTGGTCCCTTCTCATTTCTACTCTTGTGTTTTAGCACAGAAGGGACGTACAAGGTTATATTGAAAGATTAAATACAGCCATGCCTTTGCCTGAAATGTGACTGTATTTGTAGATGCAACACCAGCACACTATTAGAATGGTGTTTGTGTGTGTATTTTTGAGATTAGGGTAAACCTTCAAGGAGTGTGTTAACTCCTCGGCACTTGTGTATCATTTGGTGATGTAGCAGTTGGTAGTCAGCAGCAGGCAGTCCTCTGAGGCCTCACAACTTGTGTAAACTTGAACAATCTTGGGATTGTGCTTCTGTTGTGGTTGCACCATTCCATAGACCATTCTATCTGGTTATCAAAGTAATAAAGGGATGCCTTTCAACAGATTTCACAGGGAACATGAATAGCTGTGGGATTATTCTCTCTATTGAACATAAGTCTGCCCTAGCAAAAAATCAGGAAGGACCAATAATGAAAAAGAAAGACAAAAGATTATTTTGCTTTTAGAGACAGTGGTGCCTGTAGACTGGAAGGAAAATTCAAACTAATGTGCTTTTGTTTCTTTTTAGTCTTTTAACAACAATTTATTTTATTCTGAAGAAATTTTAAATGTGAATTATATTCTAATATATGGCTGTGAAATATAGAGCACAACATGTACAGCAATACCATGAAGGAATTATAGTTTAAACCAAGGAGATGAAAAGTTACTGATTGGGTGTGGATAGCTCAGCAAATCAGTTAGCCCACATTTTCAATACTGGGAAAATGATTCTTCCTAGAGTTATTTCTTTACAACATGGTCTTGTACAAATTTGTCTACTCAACTGCTAATCTTAGTTATTTACTGATTGATCTTGAAAATGAGCTAAGATGTGGTTGGCAACTACCTCTTAGAGAAACTGAACTGAGAGGACAACTGATAAATAAAAGCTTATTACTTACCTAAGAGTGGTTTTCAAGAAAAAAAAAGTCAAATACCCCCTTTGCCATGTTTGGAAATGTGATCTACCCTCCCGGTAAAATTAACCACTGAGGTTGTTGTCTCTCCTGCCCTGAGACTGAATTCCACGACCCAAACAATTATGTCAAGTTGATATTGAAAAGAAAAACTTGCTCAACACATCAGTTAAAACTTTAAATAAATCATATATAACTTCAAATATTTGGTTGTCCAGAATAACGTATAGGATATTCTCATATAGGTGAAGGAGGAATGTTCACCTGTCTGAATGGAAAGAGAACTGACTTCAGAAGGGCACTTACCTCAGAGAAGGAGGCATTGCGAGGAGAGGATTTGCCCGTGTCTGGGAGAAGAGCACACAGAAAAGTGCCAGCAGCACAAGGAGCTGGGGCTTATTTCTGGTTTCCATGTCTGTGCTTCTAAAGAGAGAGAATCCCATCAGCCCTCGCAACCACAGAGGTCACCTGCAAGGTAATTCTGAATGTCTAGCAGTAAATTCCAATGGCTCTTACAAGTTTGGAAGTGTAAATTTTATCTGGTACAAAGAGTTGAACTGCAATGTTACTACTTTTTTTTTTTTTTTTTTTGGCTGGAGCTGGGTTAGAACCCACCACCTCCAGCATATGGGGTCGGTGCCCTACTCCTTTGAGCCACAGGTGCCACCCCAATGTTGCTACTTTTTAAAATCAAGATTTCTCTGAGTGACAGGTTCTTGAATACAAATTACTTTTAACTGTTCTTTTCTTCTGCTGCCTATCACCAGGCACACAGTTGGCCCAAGTAGATATTAAATGCCATATGTTTGTAGTGCTGGGAATAACCCTGTGGATAATATTTTTACAACAAACTTATAACATCCAAGTTTAGCCTCTTTTTGACTAAGGAAAACAGCTTTAGAAATTGATATCCTTTTGCTGTGAGCTTTTTGCATTTAACTAATATAAAACTAAGATGTTATCTTTTTAAGATTTCTTCTGTTCTTATGTGTATGTATGTATGAACACAATGTATATACATATCTTAGTATAAAAAATATTTTGTATAAACTTTATTCTTTCATAATTATAGATATTACTGGGAACTTAGTTTCTGAAACCTAGGTTTGAACAGCTTAACTCTATTAATGGTTGAGTAATAATAGCTAGGATTTTAATGAGTGAAATATTATCATTGATTTACATTTTTCCATAAAAGAAAAGGTATATTGACAGCCAAGTTTGCATTTATTGCATTTAACCCATTTACACATTTTATTTCTGAATATTTTCTATACAAAAACTTAAGAGTTCAATTTCTGTCTCTCTTGCTAGTGATAAAATCCCCAGCATTTAAACTTAACATAGAGGAAAAAAATACGTCATAGATTGACTTAGAAAAAAAACACAGCTCTTTCAAAATAAGTTGAAAACTTTAAAACATATACATCTACTGAACCCTTCAGTCTACCATTTACATATAAGCAAGCAAACATGAACTGAATGCATTGTTTGTAAAATCTGTTTTAAGTAGAAAACTGAACAGGGTAAAGCAACTTACAACCAAAAGAATTCAGAAAATCTACTCATGTGAGAGAAATTGAGGTATTTCTCTTCATACCAAGTGACTTGAGAAACTTGCGTTTTTGCTGTTGAAAAGGAGGAACACTGTGAAATTCTATTCAAGACATAGAAAAATTCAGTCTATTGTGAGAAAAGTTCCAGAGGCAGGGGGGTAAAGGAAGAAAGGTAAAGATTT